ACTTCCTCCAACCAGGCCACACCTCCTAATAGTACCATGCTGTATGGGTGAAGCATTCACACATATGAGTGCATGGTGGCCATTCCTGTTCAAACCACCATTCCAGGCATGATGACACATGCCTTTAATCCCAGTATTTGGAAGGCAGAGGCAGACCAATCTCTGAGTTCAAGACTAGCCTGGTCTACAGAGTCAGTTCCAAGATAACCCAAGACTGCAGAGAAGCCCTGTCTCAAAAAAAAAAAAAAAAAAAGGAAGAAAGGAAGGAGAGATAGACAAATGAACTTAATAAATCTTCCATGTCACAGGTAGGTTTTCTTTTTTACAAGTTATTAAAAATAATTTTTAAAAAACTCTTAACAACATATTCAGGGGGCTGGAGAGATGGCTCAACAGTTAAGAGCACTTGCTGCTCTTGCAGAGGACCTGAGTTCAATTCCTAGCAAATCAGCCAACTCACAACTATCTGTAACTCCAATGTCAGGGAATCTGATGTTTTCTTCTGGCTTCTGCACATACATCCATAGACAGACTCACACAAATAATAAAAACATTCAGAAAAGTTGACAGGGCTGGGGATATGTAGCTCAATGGAAGAATGTTTACCTGTATGCACAAGACTCTAGGTTCAATCCACAATACTTCAAGTACACACACACACACACACACACACACACACACACACACACACACACACACCAGTAAAATAGGATAGTACAGTTCACCATTCTGACCTCTATATAGTGTATGATGCAGCCTCTAAGTTGAGAACTATCATTCTTTTCAACAGTATGTGGAACTCCACAAAATTAGGTCATGTCCATAAAGCAAGTAATTCTCCATCTGATTATTTTTTAAATCTAATGGATATTTGAAAAAAATGTGTGAAAATAAAAGGGGTTTTGAATAGTTGAAAGGAAGGGGATTTTTACAGGCTTTGATTCTTTGAGGCTGTGATGTGTGTTGCAACTCTATGAGTTCAAGCATAAGGATCATTCCATTGTTCTGGAAATTGAGTTTATTCTGTCATATCTTCATACTTCCTTTGTTTGTTGGATGCCATTCCATTGTTGTGTAAAGCCAATCACTGCAAGAACATCTTAGTTTTCTAACTAAAAGCGAGGAAATGGTCACAAAGTAATACACCTGAAAACAAATTCTAAACCACATCTTATCTATTTCATAATCATATTAACACTTACTAAAAGTTAACCAGTTACAGGCAATTTGCAGAAGTATGGAAATGTGTGAGAAATGACTTCCTGGGAAAATAATGCTTCAACAATAGATTTGCAAAGACTTAGCTAATATTACCCTCAGAATAGAAGAAAATTATAAATCTAGAAAAAGAAAGTATCTTTAGTTCCTTGGCATCATGGAAGAACTATTATGTAACTGTAAAAATAGTTGAATGGGAGGTAGCTCTCTTGGGAAAGTGCCTGCCGCACAAGCATAAGGACCTGAGTTCGGATCCCTGTACCCATGTGAAAAGGCAGCTATGGTATTATGTGTATGTAATCAGGTCTGGGGAGTGGAGACAGGAGGGTTCTCTGGGGCTCACTAGCAGACTAGGCAAATCAGTGCGCTCTAGATTTAATGACTCTGTTTCAAAAAATATGATGATTGAGGAAGATACCTCTAGCTTACACACACACACACACACACACACACACACACACACACACACACCCCTTAGGAAGGAAGGGAGGAAGGAAGGAAGGAAGATCTTACTGAGTAAAGTAATGAAAGAACTGATGAGAGGGATTTAGAAAGACAAGACACAAGAACAAATGGTGTAAGTCAGGAGCTGCTATTCTTGTCAGCAACCATCTGTTTCTTGGACACATGGGATGTTTATAGCAAACAGAGAAAACAGGATGGAACCTGGCTAGATACCTACAGAGGATGATCAAATGTGTGATAAGCTCTATGTGGTATAGAGACTTGAACCTAGCAAGATCCTCAGGATATAAGTTTGTGCAGAAAAAGTTGTGCTTTTCTGCATGTGTGTATATATGCACTGTAATCTCATTTTTAAATTTTTATTTAGATTTTAAAAAAATTTGTATGTGTGTAGATGTGCATGAACACGCACACTCCTGCTGATGACAGATAAGAGTCTCTTCTCTCCTACCTTCGCATGGGTCATCAGGCTTGCCTGTGGCCCACTGAGCTGCCTTGCCAGCCTCCAGGTATATATTGCCTATATCCCACCTATCACTTTAAAAATAATGGCAAAGCGAGGTGTGATGGAGGATGCCTTTAAACCCAGCGCGTGAGAGGCAGAGGCAGATCAATTTCTGTGATCTCAAGGTGAGCCTGGTCTACACAGTGAGTTCTAGGTCATCCAGAGCTACACAGTGAAAACCAGTTTCAGAGGCAGGGGAGAAAGAGGGAAAAGAGAATGGAAATGCTTAATACTGGCCAGTAAAAAAAATTGTAAATATGAAAATCCATAGGGCAAGTCCCTGGTTCCCACGCCCTTGTCCTCCTTCCTCCCCAGCACTCCAGTAATCTAGCCCAGTGGCTTTTCCCCCAGCCCCTGGGTCAAGATCGGGCTTTGAATTTTATCATCAGTGTTTTGTGCAGCCCTTCCTAGTGCTTGCAATTGTAATGTCTGAAAAACATAACTTGCTTCTAAGGACAGTTCCAGTATCAGCAAGAAACAATGGGGGCAGGGAATGGCAGTGGGGAGTGAACTTTCTCTTCCTTTAATAGGACAGGATTCAAAATAAGAATTCAGCTTTAAAATGGAAAAGGCAGGCTGATGAGATCACTCAGTGGCTAAAAGCGCTTGCAGCCAAGCCTGACGACCTAAGTTTGATCCCTGAGACTGATGGGGCCAAAGGAGAGAACTGACTTCAGCAAATTTCTCTCCGAGCTACACACAAACTAATACTTTCTCTCTCCTTTCCCCCACTCTCTCTCTCTCTCTCTCTCTCTCTCTCTCTCTCTCTCTCTCTCTCTCTCTCTCTCACGCGCGCACACACACACACACACACACACACACACACACGATATATAAGGTTTGCTATATGCTTGATAAACCCTTGCCTTCAGAAGTGAGGGATGGTTTGAATCAACTGAAAAGAGCAGAGATATCTATTTGAGGGTGCTGCACATACAGATAGCCTGCAGTCATCCAGCCATGGTGCCTCCAATAATTCATGAATCTTCAGAAGCTGCACAGACTCTCCAGTGGACAGTCTCACACCATGGAGCATATAACTTGTGTCAGCTAGAGTTACGAAAAATAAATAAGCACTGATCAGAGCACTGATGGAAAGTTGAAATATTTATATGGCAGCCCTTGAAAATGCAGAGAAAAGCTATTTTAAACACATTCTGAGTCATGCATTCTGTCAGTCCTGAATGAGCAGGGGAGCGTGGACTTAGATGGATCTAGGCACAGGACCTGTAATTCCCATCAAGGAGGCTACCATTGTTTTGTCCTTTGTGAGAGATTAAACTATGAATTTAGATTAGTAAAATGATCAAGCTGTCTCCTGTGTCAGGACACATGAGATGCATTGGTATTGAAGTACACACAATGTGAGCGCCATCAGAGAGAAGAAAAATTCCCCACTCACCTATTTCTTCTTGCTTTGGATTTGTGTCTGATTCTTCCTGCAGATGCTCCTGTGGGCTTATTTGAACATGGAAGTAAAGATCCCACAAGGGGTGCATCTGTCTTCCATCTGGCTGGCAGGACTTAAAGGAGGGCACCAGTTTAAAGACGAAGTCTGATTTTAGGGATATGAAAATGTGGGGGGGGGGGAATTGTGCCTTGGAATTGATCAAATTGGCACTGCCTGTAGTGAGGGTGGAGTTGGGAGGGAAAGGGAAAGGGATGCTTCCATCAAACGGATATTGTTGGGTATGACACCTATACAAAAGTAGACAGGCTGTGTATGAGAAGGACACGGCTAGCTGACAGAAGGCTGTCAGCTTGCCATGTGGTGTCCTTGGAAAAGAATAGGGGGAAACCCAGCATGCAGGAAGAAGATTCAAAGGTGGCCAGTTAAATCCCCCACTTCTGTGGTCCTGAGTGTCCACGGCACAATCAAAGGTTTCCTTAGGACTGATGCTGCCATTAGACAAGGAATAGTGTTGATCTTCTAGAAGGTCCTCCAAATAGTTTGTCCTTCATATCCAAAGGTTTCAAGTCTGCAGATCCAACATGATACAACCTAGAATCAACTGGGGAAAGAGTCTCAATGAGGGATTGTCTACACTGTACACTGAATGGGCCTATAGGCTTGTTTGTGGGGAATTGTCTCAATGCAGCTAACTGCCCAGCCCAGTGTGGGCAGCACCAATCCGGGGAGTTCTGAACTATGAGTGGAGAAGTAGAGGTGAGCACAAGCAAGTGAGTGAACATGCACACATTCATTGTTCTGTATGATGTCATATGACCAACTATCCCAGACTCCCATGACCTCCCCACAGTGATGGAATGTAGCCAAGTGAGCATGTATACCTTCATCTCTCTGTATGATATCATGTGAATTCCCCACGGTGATGGAATGGAGCCTGGAACTATGAGCCAAGATAAATGTTCTCTATTGAGCTGCATGTCATTGGGGTATTTTATCACAGCAACAAAATGGCATTAGAACAAACTCTAAATTAAAATGTTTGAGTAAAAATTGCATCTGTACTAAAAGTACCTATACTTTCCTTGTGATGACTCTATAAACAATATAGAATAACGGTATGTAATGACCTTTATGTTGTATGAGACATTTGAATAATCCAGAGATGATTGACACGTACAGGAGGATTGCATAGATTCTAGGCAAGCACACTACCATTTCCACAGGACACTCAACATCTCCAGCTTTGATTATCTTGTGGTAGATCCCAGAACAATCCTAGGCTTGACTATAGATATTCGGTGATTGGGTGAATATTGTCGTAAGTGAATGGATGAAGAATAAGCATGAATTGGGTTTTCTGTGACTTGAGATAAGGGCTGCTCTTTTCCCTTGTCACCCCAGAGAAACTGGAGAGTGAGAAGCTCAACGTGGCAGAGGTTACCCAGTCAGAGATTGCGCAGAAGCAGAAGCTACAGACTGTGCTGGAGAAGATCAATGAGACCCTGAAGCTTCCTCCCAGGAGCATCAAGTGGAATGTCGACTGTGAGTTGTGCAGAGGGAGGGCTGTGAAATGACACCAGTCCCAGATGTGTCCCCACTATTCCTGTCCATGCCAGTGTCCCTTTGTCTGAAAGATTTTCTGTGGCAGCCTTGTGTGCGGTCAGCTCAGAAAGGAAATGACACATTCCTGGAGCCACTTCAGAGACCCACACAGCCTGCTGAGAGCACTGCTGTCTCCAGCATGGACAGACTTTGGGATGCTGAGGCCCCAGGTCCACACAGCTGAGGGGCCAAAAGTGAAGTTACAGTTCCATCCCAAACCCCACCCCCTGCCACTTCCACTCTGCTTCTCAGAAGGATCGAAGACACTGCTGGGGTCCAAAGTGCTGGAAGAGGGTTTGTTTTAATATTTTATTTATTAGAGTGTAGAGTGGTGCAGTGTGGAGATGAAGGGGAAGGCTCACGCTGCCGTGGTACAGATTGGGAGGTCAGGATACAGACGCCTTTGTGAGGTCAGTTCTCTATCATGGATTCATTCACGTAATTGCTTCCTCTCCGTTCCCTTTCTCTACTCAGTTCAGGAGCCCTGCCTAGGGAATGATGCCTCCCACACTGGGTAGGGTTTCACAGCTGCTCAGTCACTATGTGAGGGGAGATCTTTTTTCTAAATTTGAAAAAAGAATTTTTTAACTCTAAGTGGTGGATCCATTTTAAGTCTAAATGGGATGGGTAACCTCTGCCACCTTGACTTCACGTCATTTGACTTAAGACAGTCCTCTACAAACACTCACAGGCCAACCCAGTGCAGTCAATCCAACCTTCCTTGTATTGAGTCAACAAAGTCAATCACCAGGCTTTGCAACAAGCACCTTCACCATCTTCCTGCCCCCAGAACATGATGTTTTTAAGTTCCACCTTTCATGCTGGTGTAGCTCAAAAATTTCAGAAAGTATAAACCTTTTATTTTAACCACATATAGGTGTTTTGCTTGATGCAGTGCCCACAAAGGCTAGAAGGAGGTGTCACTCTGTAGTTACAAATAGTTGTGAGCCATCATGTGGTCCTGGGAATTGAACTCAGGTCCTCTGGAAAAACAACTAGTGCTCTTAACCTCTGAGCCATCTCTTCTCCAGTCCCTAGGCTATTTATTCATTTGCTGCCTCAAGAGTGTGCCTCGCCATCTAATATAAACTCTAACTCAGATTCAGCAGTAAGCCAGTGGGTCACTCCATACTATCAATGGCAGCCTATCCCTAGTCAGGGAGTTTAATGATTTTTTTCTCTTTGTAAAGAAACAAATGCAGGTTTTTACAGTGGAAATAAAATAGTTACATGGTGTTTGGATCTAAGTATTAGGGACTTTGTTTTATTGCATCCCATTTATAGGACATAAAATGGATCCATCCCCAGAAGAGTTATTAAACATTTTTTTCAAACTTAGAAAAGAAAAAGAAATCCCGCATGCCCCACTATAGTGACCTCACAGCTGCCAGGGCATCTTCTCTCCTCACTTCTGAGGTTGGAGCCAAAACGCTGAGTACCTCCTTCAGCATAATTATGCCGTTGCTGGCATAGAACAGTGTGATAAGCTGGGAACAGGGCATTCTCTGCTTAGCCAGAGTCACCTGAGGGTAGAGGACAGGACCTGGCTTCAGGTCCCAGAAGCTACTCTGCTAAGAAGCCCTATTTCCCTGTGCCCCTGGGAAACTAATGTTCAGAAAAGGACACATGGGGCTGAGGAGATGGCTCATTGGATAAAGTGCTTGCCTTATAAGCATGAGGCCTTCTTGTATTTGAGCCCCAGCACCTACATTAAAAAAGAATTAAAGAAGCCCAGAGTACTGCCACTTGCCTGTAATTTCAGTGCTAATGAAAAAGAGACAGGAGGAGCTCTGGGGGGTTGCTGGCCAGCCCAGCTAAGTGAATAAATGAACTCCAGGTTCAGTAGGAGACCCTGTCTGAAGAAACAACGTGGAGCAATTGAAGAAGACACTTGGCTACCTGATATTGACCTCTGACCTCACACATATGCAACATACTCATACAACATATGCACATATAACACACACATACACACACAGTGAGACACACACACGCACACGCACATCAGTTACTAATATCAGATGGCTTTAGTTGGATGTCTTTGCTGTCTCTCTGTTTACTTCTTGTGAATTACTCTTCCTGGCTAGATCTCCAGAATGGAGATGGATTAGTGGGTCAGAAGGGATAATTATCCTCTTGGCTGCTCCCTGTGATGCCTCGGGGCATCAAGAAGAGCTGGAGCTTGTTTACAAGAAGAAGCAGTGTGTTCTAGAAGGGACAGAGCAGGCACAATTCACAGGGAGAAGTCTCTCCTTTCTTTCTTTTTTTTTTTTTTTTTTTTTTTTTTTTGCATATAGAGTATTTTTTATTTAATTTTATATAACAAAGTCCAATTAAATGAAAACAAACATTTATACACAATATTTGGGAATTTGGGCGTCGTTCTTTCCAAACTACTTCCTGCTGGTAAGGGGCGCTGTCTTGGGGGATTCGAAGAAGATTCAGATATCCTAGCTGTAGTCTGTAGGGCTGTTTTGTCCAGCTGTTTGGAATGTAGGATCAGCTTGTACTCTGTTTCAGGCGGTCTGGTGTGATCAAACCACATTAGTCTGGAAGGAATCCACATCTTTTCATTTTCTGTGGAAACAAAAATAGAAATACTTTTCCCCAGTAATTTTGGAGTCAAAGCGTTTTTTTTTTTTTTTTTTTTTTTTATTATTATTATTATTTTACATGTCGATCCCAGTTCCCTCTCCCTCCCTCCCTCCCTCCCCCCAAGCCCTCCCTCCCTCCTTCCCTCCCTTTTGCCCTCTCTACCCTCTCCCATGCACTCTAAACACCCTCCCCTCCCAACCCCCCACCACAATACAATATGTAGGGGAATGCCATCCAGTTGGGGTCATGTAGATCTGACAGGTCCTGTGAAGTAGGGACTAGGGCTTCTCTCCTATCTCTAGAATAAGGCAGTTATCCCTCCATGGGGGATATGTTTGCAAAGTCCTTTTGTGCACCAGGGATACATCCTGGCTCCACTGTCTGAGGTCTCTTAGACTGCTCAGACCTTCTGGCTGAGACCCATATTCAGGGGAGTCCGAGTCAGACCTCTGTTGGCTTCCCAGCTATCAGTCTAGTGGCCCTTAGCTCCTCCTTGTTCAGGTAAGCTGTCTCTATGTACTTCTACCGCATGGTCTTGTCCTCTCCATCTGCTTCTGGGTTCTAGTTTGACTCAGTGTTTATGTATGGGTGTTTGCTCCTGTTTTCAACAGGCATTAGTTGAGGACTCCATGGAGAAGTTAGTTGCTGATCTCACTCTCCGGGAAGGGCATTTATGATAGCCTTTCCACGGAAGCTGAGATTGTTAGTTGGGAGCAGTCTTGTAGTTCCCTCGACCTTTCTTTGTGTTCAACTTTATCTTCAAACCAATATTGGCTCCCTCTTTTATGTTCTCTCTCTCTGTCTCTGTCTCTCTCTCTCTTTCCTATTTTCCATTCCTAACCAGGCTCAATCCTCCTAGTCACACATGCCTTCCTCTCCTCCCTCTCATTTTCTCCTACTTCTCTCTCCATTAGCTGTCCTCCCCCACTATACCTGAGGTCTGGGGGACTTGTCCCTTCCCAGTTCTGTGAGGGACTTTATATGAATCTCTTAGAATACAACTTGTATCCTAGTTCCTCTGGTGATGTGAATTATAGGCTGGTGATCATTTGATCTAGGTCTAAAATCCATATATGAGTGAGTACATACTGTGTTCCTCTTTTTGTGACTGGGTTACCTCATTCAGGATGGTTTCTTCAAGTGCCATCCACTTGCCTGCGAATTTCAAGATACCATTATTTTTTTCTGCAGAGTAGTATTCCATTGTGTAGATGTGCCACATCTTCATTAACCATTCTTCAATTGAAGGGCATCTAGGTTGCTTCCAGGTTCTTGCTATTACAAATAGTGCTGCTATGAACATAGTTGAACAGATGTCTTTGTTGCATTGATGTGAATCCTTTGGGTATATGCCTAAGAGGGGGATTGCCGGGTCCTGTGGTAAACTAATTCCCATTTTCCTGAGGAACCGCCATACTGATCTCCAAAGTGGCTGTATGAGTTTGCACTCCCACCAGCAGTGGAGGAGTGTTCCACTTTCTCCACATCCTCTCCAACATAAGTCATCACTGGTGTTTCTAATTTTAGCCATTCTGGCAGGGGTAAGATGGTATCTCAAAGTTGTTTTGATTTGCATTTCCCTGATAGCTAAGGATGTGGAGCATTTTCTTAAGTGTCTTTCAGCCTTTTTGATTTCCTCCATTGAGAATTCTTTCTTCAGTTATGTACCCCATTTTTTAATAGGGTTATTTGGTGTTTTGTTGACTAGTTTCTTGAGTTCTTTGTATATTTTGGAGATCAGCCCTTTGTCGGATATAGGATTAGTGAAAATCTTTTCCCAGTCAGTGGGCTGCCGTTTGGTCTTGTCAACTGTGTCCTTTGCCTTACAGAAGCTTCTAAGTTTGAAGAGGTCCCATTTATTAATTGTTTCTTTCAGTGTCTGTGCCCCTGGAGTTATGTTCAAGAAGCGGTCTCCTATACCAATTTGTTCAAGGGTACCTCCTACTTTCTCTTCTAAGAGGTTCAATGTGGCTGGATTGATGTTGAGGTCTTTGATCCATTTGGACTTGAGTTTTGTGCATGGCGACAGACATGGGTCTATCTGCAGTCTTCTACACACCCTCATCCAATTGTGCCAGCACCATTTGTTGAAGATGCTGTCTTTGCCCCATTGTATCATTTTAGCTGTTTTGTCGAAAATCAGGTGTTCATAGGTGCATGGATTAATATCAGGATTTTCAATTCGATTCCATTGGTCTACCTGTCTATTTTTATGCCAATACCAGGCTGTTTTCAGAACTATAGCTCTATAGTAGAGCTTAAAGTCAGGAATGGTGATGCCTCCTGATGTTCTTTTATTGTATAGGGTTGTTTTGGCTATCCTGGGTCTTTTGTTTTTCCATATA